ATTTATCTCTAGATTTATCTCTAGATTTATCTCTAGATTTATCTCTAGATTTATCTCTAGATTTATCTCTAGATTTATCTCTAGATTTATCTCTAGATTTATCTCTAGATTTATCTCAGATTAGATCGGATTATCTACTCTATTTATGCTCTAGAGTTAGCTCTCTATTTATCTCTATAATTTATCCTCTATCTTATCTCTAATATTTATCGCTAGTTATCTCTACATTAGCTCTACAGTTGATCGCTAGATTTATCGTTACAGTTATTCTCTACATTTAGCTCGACATTTATCTCTACATTTATTCTCTACATTATCTCTACATTTAATCTCTACATTTCTATCACTTCCATCACTTCCATCATTTCCAGCCCAAGCCAAACCTTACCTTGGAGAAACTCAAGTATAACCACAACCAAAGCAAAAACCACAGGACACCACACCACACCAAACACACCAATCACTCAGGCCCGTTCTTGAGAAGTTGATAATCATCACTATTCAGCTAACATAGCTACCTAGCAAGTTTTCTCTCTCCCAACTTAAAAACAAAATGAACAAACAATCCCTTTTAAACCCATCCATGATTCATCCATCCTAGATCCTAATGCATTTGCCTGTCCACCAAATTCCCATTTCATATCTGTTGAATCATACGAGTACATAAATGCCCTTTTCTCTCGTGGAATTGACTATTCTCACTTTCATTCATAATCAGATCACCACCCACTAACCCCTCCACTCGGACCCATTACTAACTCCACTTCCGCTCTCTCCAGGTATGGGTAATGTTCCATCCTCCTCACTTTCTTCCCCCTCATCCTCATCCAAAATTCTCGCCAGCTCATCCGGATCCTTCATTTTCGCATCCTTATCCACATCCGCATCAATGACTCCACTTTCTTGTCCTTCATATCCTGCTTGTCTTTGACTTTCGCCTGCAAGAACTCCCTCATCTGCACTAACTGAAATACCTCTTGCTCCCCATTTAGTACCATTTCGGCTTGGTTCTTGTCTACCGACAGTATTTGCTTCTTCATCCCCCTCATCATCATCATCCGTGCCCACCATATGTTTATTGCCCAACACTCTATTCAACAACCAGCCTCTACTGATATCATCCGCGTCAACAACTCCTCCATTTCTCAACTTGACTCTTTGTCTTGTATAATAAACCCAAGCAAAGTCGATGTAGAACGCTGTTTGGATTACCCCACCAATAATTGATATCGCATCTGGAGAACGATCATTTATATCTAAGGAACGCCAAATCCAATTCAAGATGTAAAAGAAACGGTAGGAGCCGAGTGTTACAAGGTAGAAAGAATCGAGGACTGTGGGAACTGTTGTTTGACGGAGAAGAAGGAGTTGGGGGAGGATGCAGGTTGACTCGAGAAGAATGGAGAAGACCCAGAGGACCTGTTTTCATCTTGATTAGTATTGCCCATGTTCAAATGTTGAGGAATGAACTCACCTCCATAAAACCCCAACCATACTTCCTCTCAAAAATCATCATCGCAATCGGTGCCAATACCGCACTTCCCACAAAACACAATCCACCAAGTTTCCAAGCCTTTTCTCTTTCCCTGGTTCTCGCATACACTCTTAACATCAAAAAGAGAATATAGAGAGAAGAACCTATATAGAAGACTTTGAGGACGAAATTCCAGAGGATGAAGATCCCAGAGAAGAGATCCAGGTAGCGGGTTATAAAGACGAGGGCATAGAGAGATTGGGTTATGAGGGAGACACCTGGGAGATGTTAGTTTGGGGTTTGCTTATCGGAGGGATGGGGGATGGCGGGGAAACATACCTTCCGCAGAGGAGTTACGGTGAATGGCGAATATGAGGATACATTTTGAGAGAGTATGGGAGATATCTCCTAGAATGCGGAAGAACTGAGGAGAGAAGAGAGGGTTAGTAATGCAAAGGTAGGAATAGAGTTGGGATTGTGCGGGTAATGAGAGGCAGCTTCTTTGAATGATTTCCAAGATTGACATACATTAAACCCAACCATCCTATCTACTTGTATCAATCAACTCCCAACAGGATAGTTGTAAATAACAGTTGCTAAGTGAGGATGTTCAAAGAGTGATTGATAAGTAATTGATGAGCTGTGAAAGCTATGGTATCCGATAGATTACGCGTCGCGGTCGTTATGCGACAATACCTAGGTAAAGAGCATTAGAGAATACGAAGCATTACTGTCCTCGAAATCCTCAATGCAATATCTCCAAGTTAGGTTTGTAAACTTTCAAGAGAACAATGAGCTCAAATGAATGAATCAGGACAGTTTGAATGAGGTGAAACATGGTAACGTTGTCACAGGCTAAAGGAATGGATAGCTTCAGCGATTCGCTTGTGGCTGATGCTTTGGATTGTGGCTGAATTTGAGGGTATCTCGTATTGCAGGTGGATTAGGTAATAATAAGGGTTCAAGCAAGGGTCTAATAGGGGACCATAACTAGGTACCTAGTAGATCATTGGACAATCTAAGTAATCTAATCAATCTTTCTTTTAATAAAAATCGGTTTGATAAAGTCACATAGTGAAGTAGTTGCACTTGTAGTATAGTAGACTCTCATATGATCAACATACCTATCTAAGTATCTTGCGGAATAGAATATTCATTGAAATTCGTAACCTTATATAGATCTCGGTATAAATATAAACATAAACGCCAAAATCTTAGACGATCCTTCCGAGAAAAAAAATACAACAAAATAGGTAGCTATATATGCAATTATCTCAGTTCTACCTCCCATAATGCTCTCAAGACAGATAATCCTCCACCCTGAGTTTCTACAGTTCTTCCTCTACCTCGATCATTGGGATCTTCTACCCCACTATTGTTATTTACACCTTCTCTAGTCTTGCTTGCTTTCGCTTCTTTGGGGTATTCCTCTCCTCTCCATTCGGCATTCTTTGGAACTCCAGTATTTCGATAGTCTACAGAGCCACCCGATGTCTGATTCTGTGTATAGTCTGCGAATGAACTCTGAGTGGCCGGCACACCCCACCACATACCAAATTTCCCTTCTTCATTCTTGGTACTTAATGCAGCTTCGGCATTTCGCCTGATCCATTTTGTATACTTTGAGCACTTGTCAGAATGCCACTCTCTGTCGAGTTCCAGACTTTTTTTCGTCCCTGCGATAGGCTCTCGTGGCAAATCACTACAGAATGCAATCAAATGATGAAAGAATATGCCTTTGAAAGTTTGTCCATTTTGGGAACACGAAGCACTTGAATCGCAACCTTCTTCCAGTATTCCATTTCTACCCAGACCAAACCACTTTGCCAATGCGGAACCATCTTTGGGTGGCGGTGAGATGACAGCATTGTCTTTCAGATCGTAGCCTGTGGCATTAATAACATTCGCGATAAGTTTATGGCCATCCACAAGGTATGATCGTGCGGCGGTCGCGTCATACAGACCACGTTGTCCAGTAAGTAAAACGCCTTGATTGTAGGTATATACCATTTCATTTCTAGAATCGCAATGGGTATTGTCACCACCAGAAAGATTCGAGATATGATATCCGTCGACATATAAACCTTGCAAATCCGTCATATTTGAGCCATTTAGCCATTTGTAAGCATCAATAGCTGCCTGTAGATATTTCGGATCGCGAGGTGGATATGTAGGGCTGGAATGAATAAATGGGGATTGATTGTCATCTCCAGGGAAATATAGGTACATCGATATCGAAGCTGCGATGTAGAGTTCATTGGTGATTGCGTTCTTGTATGGAGTAAGGTATGGAGACCATATCATCCCACCACCACAGAGAGTCGTGTCCCATCCTTGCGATGCCAATTCCCAAAATAGTCGCGCCCGGTGGGCAAATGCAGGTTTGTATTGTTGTCCGTACCACTCTGGTTGAGAGTCGTTCGAATAGTGTAATTCAGAGTGCAAATCAATGAATTTGACAGTATCCAACCAACCAAGAACTACCCATAACATATCATCATAGGCTTGCTGTCGTAGAGAGAAGGCATCCTGGCCAAAATAAAATCCAACTACTTCGGTGAAGTATTTATTGATGATGTTCTCGTTCGTTTTTGGCGAGGAAAGTTCAGAAAAGGACTTGGTAATAGTGGTGAGAGCACCAGCAACATAGGTGCCTGTTTGGAAACTGGTGTCAGTTCTTGCTCAATAAAGATTTCAACATGGAAAGAGAGAATTATACCAATCACTGCAGATGTCCAATCAATTCCCGTTGGATAAATGCCTTGCCATGTCGCAAAGTAGTCTCCTTGTAGCACGTCCAGCGCGCTTAACATTGCCGGTAGGATTTTTGTATCTTCAGGCTGGATGGGCTTTTGAGGGCTCCCATTGATTGTGGTATCTTCATTATTCGTAAGTGGTCGTTGAATCAAATCATTCTGTCGCACAACATCGTTTGACCTCCCATATACGCCAATTGAGAAAGATGATGCGCAGAATAAACACAGCAGAAGTAAAGACATGCGCGGTCGTGGATTGGTATGTATTGAGAACGAAATCATGATTGAGGCTTCTCCTCGCCGCCGATCAAAGAATAACAGTAGTATGTACGAAAAGCGATTGAAACAAAAGGAAAGCAACTATTCCAACAAGTAGGACCTTTTTATCCTTCTACCCAAATAACCTTAGGAGACGGAAGACATATACATTCGAGCAAAAAAGAAGAAAATGACAATGAAGTTGTCCACGAGGTCACAAAGGAAAGGAAAGGAGGAAGGGAAAGGAAAGGAACGGGAGCAGATTATGATTCAGAATTGAAGCTTGCGAGGGTTGTAGGAGTCCTCGTGTTCCTGGTCTCCGGTGATCTTGGGGGAGTGCCAAGGTAAGGCTTATCCGATTCGAGAACTAAGTTGTTTCCAAAAAAGGCGGAGGCGCGGGGTCGTGTCATGTGATCATGTGCCTTTCCGAGAAGTTTCTCTTTATTCATTTCAATGCTGCATGTTTGTCATTCTCACCCATCATAACAACACTCAATTTTGGGAATAGTATCGCTTCTTGCCAAACCTACGAAAACGATTTTTCTCACTTGATATCGACGGCATGCTTTCTGCTCACAATGTTCAAGGACACAGGATGGCACCCACACACGAGGCCAACACGATGAAATGTCTGCAGAGACATCAACTAGCTTTACATTATCGTTATGTTTCAAAAAAGATTGGTATCAACGGCATTCGTTCTCATTATGGTCATAATAATAGTACATTTATTGTTTGTTTCTATCCCAACCATATTCCAAAAAGTCTCACTCGCTCCTGTCAACTCCACGCTGAAAAAGAATCATCCTCCCAAGACCGATCCCGCTAAACATTCAAATAGATTATTGCAAAAAGTATATTACAATTCGGGACAAGTGTCACATTGGAATGATACTCTTCACAAGCCGGGGACTTGATGACCTAATGACTGGTGTCAGCGATGATATTCTAAAAATGAATGGGATCAAGATAGTCACTTACGACCAAGAGGTTTGGCTCTCTTGTAAATGTTGTTCGCTTGTCCTTGTCGAACCTTCAGTGCTTTTGCTCTACACAACAGATTAGTATCTTGTGCTCTTGCTGTCTTCAAAGTTTGGATGACTTACTGTGCTTCCATCTCCAGCTTAAGTTGTCTCATGTGTTCTCTTGCTTCTGCCACCGCCTCTCTAGCATTAATCAATGCTCTGTCGGCTTCTCTCTCCATTTGCTCAGCATTAATGATTCTTTGCTCCGCAGCTGCGATAACTGGGTCTTGAACTTCTCGATTCTTGTGTAAGAATCCGCGATTGCGACTACTGTGAGATGGAGTGGAGGAGACGGTGGACATGGAACGTTCAGACGGTGAGATAGACTCGCCACGGTTACGATGGAAGATAGATGAGCTTCGCTTGGGCTCTTCCACCACTGGCTCTGGCTCATATTCTTCTTGATGGCGACCGAAAAGAGGCATATTGATGGTTGGTATGGGTTGTTTTGAGATTTGATATCTGTTCAAGGATATAAATGAATATTTGGAGTATATGACTTGGCGAAAGCTTATAGTGTATATTATTTTTGATGATTTGATAATGAGAATTTCCCTCCAAGAATACGAGCAGTTTCGTGATACTTATCTCCTTTCTCTCATTCAATCCTCCTCCCCATCATCATAAGAATCTCGCTTCTTGCCAAGTTTCTCTTGAGGGAACAGGGGGTGCACACAATGACGTCAATTTTGCGACGTCAGCGATCATCCTTTTCCTGTATTATACAACCAATAGATAAATGACCACCAAATTCAAATGCTTGTACGATATTATGATAATCATAATCGAACTTGATTCAAGGTTTTGAAGGGATTGATTGATGAACTGCTGGCGGTAAATGATTGGGCTTGAGCATATCAGTCAGGATAGGGCAGGGCAGCAGATGAATGGTTACACAAAGTTTAATTGATTGATCTCAACACATGCTCAAGGTACGATTCAGATGTTATTCGCTCGCCTGTCTTGACAGATTTCTTGAGATCATGTCTCTCATTTAGGAGTCTACGACGTAGACTACACCGCAGACAGGATATAGTTCAGCCTAGTTGATTGGATATTTGATACTGCGGGTGATAACAATCCACCTCCAATTTCAGACTAAAGGATATACTTTCGCATCTATATATTTCCAGCTACTTCAATGGTTCATCAGACCCTTCTGTTGCATGTCTGGAAACTCAAAATCGCTCTAGTTTACTTGCCTTTCGACTGATTGGATACTTGAACAACTTACCATAGACTTTTGTTGCATATCTGAAAGTATAAAATCGCGATGGTTGACTCGAGTCAAATTGTAATTAGGATGGCTGCCGTCTTTACTCACTCAAAAATACACATAGTACCTAGGTACATAAGATGAAGATGTTTTAAGAACTCGCTGGAGGAAGTAGGAATAGGGTGATTGGTTTCCCTCATTTGAAGCTCGAAAAGACATCCATGACTTATGAATTCAGTTTTACGCTCGCCAAGTCTCAGAAACTTCCTCATTCGGAAGGTCAATATGAGGCCATCTTACCACAGTAACTGATTTCTCACTGACATGACCACTGATCAAGCAGATATTCGAGGTAGAAACCGAGATGTTCACAACAATTTTCAAGAAGAGCAAATGTAAATTTTCTTTCCGAGAATTATTGATATCATGATATTGAAACCCTAATAACTACTTGATTCAATCTCGTTCCGTTAGCCTTTGAATTTTTAGTATCGAGCGACAGATCGCCATGAAGTTTTTCCATTCCATCATTCATATCTTCGTTACCCCATAAACAATTATTGATCCATGACCAAAACACTTCTGAACCTAACATCACCACTTAACATGTGATCATAAGCCTTCTGAGCATCCTTCAATGGGAATTTCTCAATCATGCAGTGAACATCATGCAACTTGGTGAACTCAATAGCCTCCTCACTATCCAACGCATGACCAGATGGGAAACCGCAAACAGAAGCCATCTTCATGATGAGATCAACCGAGTTGATCTCCACGCCACCACAAGGAGCCAAAATGAGCAACTTTCCACCCGCGCCTAATCCACCAGTTAAGGGAGAAATAGATTTTGGGTTTGGAGCCGTGCAAACAATTAGGGCTGCTCCTCCCATTTCGGTCAATTTCTTGACGGGATCATCCTTCGATGTGTCAATATACTCATGAGCACCCAACTTATGAGCAAAATCTCTCTTCTTGTCACCACCACTAATAGCTACAACCTTGAATCCCATCTTAGCTGCATACTGTACAGCCAAATGTCCCAATCCGCCCAATCCTTGAATAGCAACAACTTCACCAGGTGTAATCTGTAATTTTCTCATACTGTTGAAGACAGTGATTCCGGCGCAGAGAATTGGGGCATATTCATAAGGATCGACATCTTCTGGAACTCTCACTACGGCTTCGCTTCGAAGGTGAACATATTCGGCAAATCCTCCGTCGCGAGTGACACCGTTAATGGCACCATTGGAACACATTTGACTGCGGAATCAGATCGTTAGCAAATCACAAGTCATTTTCCTATTGCAGAAAAGAGAGACAATAGCGAGAGGAAAAACATACAATTGTCCTCGATTGCACTGTTTACAAGTGCCATCATGACCTCCATGCCAAGGACCTCCTACTCTCTCTCCAACCTTCCATTTCTGCACACCTTCTCCAACAGCAGCAACGGTACCAATTATCTCATGGCCCGGGATGATCGGAAACCCGTTTCCGAAACCGCCAGATTGAACGACGGCGTCGGAGTGACATACTCCGCATGCAATGACTTTTACGAGAACCTCATTTGCGGATGGTTGTCTGAGCTCGATGTCTTTGATGACGAATGGACTATCGGCTTTTTCGAAAACAGCAGCTTTGTAAGTTTTTGGGAGGGACATTGTGGAGATGAGGGCTTGAGCTTTGTTTTTTAGAGTGGTTGGGAGGGTGGTTATGGTGTTCATGAGTTGGATGAGTGGATTTTGTTGTTGTGCTTGTGGAAACAAGAGGGAGGGAGAGAAGCTTCGTTATATTTATTACTTTTGAAGGAAGAGGGAAGAAATGATGTATGCGTTTCTAGGAATGTGGGCAGACATCAGAGCAAAGATAAAGGAAACAGCTACCCCGCGCCTTAAAGCCGGTGCGGAGATTGAATGCATTCTGCATATAATTTGTGATCAAATACATCATAACAACTAATCAAAAGCTAAAATTTTGCTGGTCGTCGGCGATACAAAATCTTATAGGTGAGATGATAGGAGATGCCTGAAGAATGAAGCTTTGGAGCTTCAAAGCTTATGGCAGCGATAAGGTTAGTTGCTAAAGAAGTTAGTAGGTGGAACCCCGCAATTGAACCCCTGACTATAAGCGGTTTTTCATTGGCCGCAATACAGTACATGCTTTGTGGGCCCGGACTTCGGGCTCTGTACAAAGCTGTTTGTGAATTTTACGAGTAAGCTGACGTCGATAGAGGAATAATACAGAGTACTTGTTGAATCCATTGTCATCGGGTTTCCTTGGGATGAATAGTGATGATGCTAGTAGACATCACGAGATTTGTCAAACAGGAGATGATACATATTCCAGTACATATGTCATGGCATTCTTTGTTCGGAGAAACTTTCCTTGAAACAACCCACATCGCAAGCAAAGAATCAATCATCGCGATATCATTTGGACAAATACAGAAGTTTCGTATTCCGTCCCCAAAATGCTTGACAGTCCTCGATGTAACGTTTTGATTGTGTGTCTAAACATGATTGTCCAGAATCATTTAAAGATCTTAGTAAACCATAGGTGCAGAATTGTAAAGTAGAAACATCACAAATGAAGACACCACCACAATCCATTTCAAAAATATCATTGGTTTGTCAACCGTCAAAAGGTTTCTTTGCATAAAGCCACAATCAAGTGTAGCATCACGATGCTTCTTCCTCAATGGGTCATTTGCAGATTTCCCCTCATTCCTGCTTTTTAAACTGTCAGTGATAAGGATGGTTAGTAGTTCACGTTGCTCAACATGAGTTCACCTTCTTCATCTTACAAAATTAGATACAGGATGATACCGACGAAAGATGACGGATTGAATGCCGCGGTAGGGAGAGTGGATGAAGAATCAGAAGAGGTGGTACAAGAAGAAAGCGTCACGGGTTCCGATAGCAGATGGAGATACATCACGGAGTCTCTTCCTCACTGGAGAAGCATTTTTGACCGGGAAACGTGAGCTGAGTCCATCATCTCTCACTCAGTAGTACTAATTCCCCACAGCTATCCTGGCTCCCTTCTCTTCAACACGGGGGCTTTCATCCTTCCAGCTCTTTACTCCACCCTCAGCAAACTATGGGTAGCCAATATCGATTCTACCCAAGTGGCAACCACAGATGTATACACCTATATCGGCGTAATAGTAGAGGTACTCAACGAGGGACTCCCTCGAGCTGTCTGGGTTATCATAGCTGATGAATCAAATCGAAGTCTACGTTCACGATTGACACTCACCTATACCCTCATTTCCTTCCAAATTCTATTCGGTATTCTACTCATGATAATTTTTCTCGCAAGTGCCGAACATCTCGCCGCGGCTTTCGTACCTGAGATTGTAAGAAAAGCTAGTCTTACATATGTTAGAATCTCATCAGTACAAGCATTATCCAGTGCAATGAGCACTGCGGTTGCAAATTCAACACGAGCTTTGGATCATCCGGATGTACCGCTGTTGATTAGTTCGGTACAATTTGCGGTGAATATTTTGTTGGACTTGCTTATCATTTCAAAGTTCCATGTAGGCTCTTTCACACCAACAGTTAATACACAGGCGTTGATCAGAATGACATGTGATCTTGCTTCTGCAGGATGTGGCTTGCTATATTTTATTTATCTTGCTTTGAAGATGCAACGGTCTTCTTCTTCGCCTTCTACTACACGCGAATCCGCATCTTTATCGGCATGTCCATCGGGGTCACTATCACCATCCGAGTCAGGAAACGCAACCGAGTCAAACCCCAGAATCACCATTTTAGCACTCAAAACACTCTTCAAACCAGGAAAATGGACATTCCTCGAATCCGCTCTCCGCAATGCGATCTATCTATGGCTCATCCATGGGATTGTATCTATGGGTCTTGATTATGCTACTGCATGGGGTGTGTTCAATAATATCCGATGGGGTATTGTTATGGTTCCTGTAAACGCATTGCAGGCATCTACATCGACCTTCGTGGGTCATGCGTGGGGAGCTTGGAGAAAGAGTGTTGGGATTGAGACCAGGAAGCCGAGAGCTGAGAGGGCGGATGTTAAAAGTAGGTCTTGAGCTCCATCTATTGGAATAAATATGAGGGAGGAAATAATGCTGACAATCACAGAAATCGTTCACTACGCCCTAGTATCCAGTGTCATTGCCCTTCTCATAGAAAGCCTGTTCTGTATCTTCCTCTCCCTCTGGGGCATCCG